CACACACACACACACACACATGCTCATGCACACACGCACGCAGGCACACACACACTCAGACTCCTTCAGCCTATCACAGAGCCCACGGCACTGCCAGCCAGCTGCTGTGCTCCCTCCTCTACACCTTCCAGTGCCCTCTGCCAGCCAGCCCTAGATGTTATTGGGACCAAGAGCCACTGGTGCCCATGTGCTGCTGTCATTGCTGTGACCCTGGCATGTGCCCGCTATGCCTCCCGTCCCCGGCACGGCCCCTGTGTGTGCCCACTACGCCCCCATCCCCGGTGTGACCCTGGCGTGTGCCCGCTACGCCTCCTGTCCCTGTGTGACCCTGGGGCACACACACACTCAGACTCCTTCAGCCTATCACAGAGCCCACGGCACTGCCAGCCAGCTGCTGTGCTCCCTCCTCTACACCTTCCAGTGCCCTCTGCCAGCCAGCCCTAGATGTTATTGGGACCAAGAGCCACTGGTGCCCATGTGCTGCTGTCATTGCTGTGACCCTGGCATGTGCCCGCTATGCCTCCCGTCCCCGGCACGGCCCCTGTGTGTGCCCACTACGCCCCCATCCCCGGTGTGACCCTGGCGTGTGCCCACTATGCCCCTGTCCCCGGCGCGGCCCCTGCGCGTGCCCCCATGCCCTGTCCCCGGGGGCTGCAGTGGGCGAGGCGAGCGGCACTCACCGGGATGAAGTTGGCGTTGATGTAGTCGGAGTGGGGCTCCTCCCCCAGCTGGCTCAGCCTGACTCTCGAGTGATCGTCTGCAAGAAACCAAACCCCAATCACGCCTGAGCTGCCCTTGCCGAGCCACAGCCCGGTTCCCCAGGGCGCCCGGCTCCAGGGCCGCATGCCCTGCTGCCCACGTGGCCCCCCCCCCTTTGCCAGCAGGGCACGAGGCACAGAGAGGTTGGGGCCATGTGGCAGGCAGGAGCCAACCCCAGGCCTACACTCCATGCCCTGCCCAGGAGGGTCTGCTAGGCCGTAGGCTGGGTTGGACCCTTCCCACCAAGGTCCCTTGGCCTGTCCTCATCTGTATTTCGGGGAAGACGACAGACCACACCAGCAAGGGGGAGGGCTGGCCCCGGCCTCTTCCTGCCCATCATGCTCCCAGCAGCACCCGTGGGTGTCTGCTCCCCGCCTGGTGCTGCTGAGATGATGGGGAACGGACACCCCCCCCCCTCAGTGTTCAAGCAGCTGATCACGCCTAGGGGAGGGAGAGGGAGTTCCCGGGACCCTGGGCCTGAACGCAGGCTGCCCCAGGGGATGCTGTCTCCCCCCGGCTCCCGGGGCGGGGGGGGT